TTTTGTTTTTTTGAGACAGAATGTCACTCTTGTTGCCCAGGCTGGAGTGCAATGGCGTGATCTCAGCTCACCGAAATCACTGCCTCCTGGGTTCAAGCTCTTCTGCCTCAGCCTCTTGAGTAACTGGGATTACAGGCATGCACCACCATGCCTGGCTAATTTTGTATTTTTAGTAGAGATGGGGTTTCCCCTGTTGGTCAGGCTGGTCTCAAACTCCCAACCTTAGGTGATCCACCCGCCTCGGCCTCCCAAAGTGCTGGGATTACAGGCGTGAGCCACCGTGCCCGGCCCAGTCTCACCATTTTTTGAGGTGACAGAACAGAGGGCCGAAATTTCTGAAGCTACTTCTGGATTGACCACAGCCTAATGCCCTGTGGCATGTCAGTGACTTCTCTCCCCTAGAGAGTTAGTTGACAGGTTTCACTGGAGGAACCATTTTAAAAGTAAGGGAGCAGTTTGTACTGTATTCTGCTTCTGAGACAAGGGTGGATGGAAGTCAGCAACTGAAATCTAGCGCGCACAGGGACAGACACCTTCCAGGTAGCTTTGCAAGGAAGGCAAGGAAACAAACACAGAACCCGGTGACTGGCTTGTGGGCTCAGATTTTCTTTTGGATTCTTTACCAACAGACCCAAAGGCCTCAAGATTATTATCACTTGCTGGGCTTGGAGGAGGTGATGGCCGGATACATTTGTCTACTGGTTCTTGAGAAAGCTGTGTTTATGTGAAGAAATTTCAGCTCCCTGATAAGGTCATCTGGAATTGAATTTAATCTTCTGCTTTATTCGTTAATCATTATCCAGGCAGCAGAAAATGAATAAAGGAAGACTGAAGTGTTTATGTTGTAAAGTGAAGACCTCATGAACAGTCAAAACACTTTAATGTATTTTGAGGACCAAAGGGCATCATAAACTTAAACAGCAACCTCCCTGATGACATGAAGAACGTGGCCTGGCGGCTGTTTGTTAACAAACTACCCAACATGCATGCTCCTTCCCCACTGAGAGGGCGGGAGCTGCCTGCCTGCTTGTTGTATTTGGGATGATGGTAAACTCCGCGGTTTCCACCAATCGGAAAGGCATAAGGTGATAGAAAGTGTGGTCCCGCTCGATGGCCACGATACACTGTTCTTCTTGTTTTGAGGTTACTTGTCAAAGTGTACTTTGCCTTCCAAAATGGTCCTTTGGGGCTTTCTTGTAAACCACAGATTGAAGAATGTGGTTATCATGTTAAACATGCAAGATGCTGGACACAGTGGCTCACGCCTATAATCCCAGCACTTTTTTTGTTTGTGACTGAATCTTGCTCTGTCACCCAGGCTGGAGTGTAGTGGCACAATCTCGGCTCACTGCAACCTCCACCTCCTGGGTTCAAGCAATTCTCCTGTCTCAGCTTCCGGAGTAGCTGGGATTACAGACACCCGCCACCATGCCCAGCTAATTTTCGTATTTTTAGTAGAGACGAGGTTTCACCATGTTGCCCAGGCTGGTCTTGAACTCCTGACCTCAGGTAATCCGCCCCCCTCAGCCTTCCAAAGTGCTGGAATTACAGGCATGAGCACTGGTAGTCCCAGCTACCCAGGAGGCTGAGGTGGGAGATCGCTTGAGCCCAGGACATGGAGGTTGCAGTGAGCCGAGATCTCACTCCAGCCTGGGTGACAGAGTGCGACCCTGACTCAAAAAAAAATAAAGAAAAGAAAAGAAAAAACGTTCAAGAGCATTTCTTCCTAATATGCGTAAGCATTTGTTGAGTTTAGGAGCAAAGCCTATCTGTGCCTGAGAGGAGGGAACTACAATTTAGTAAAATTTATACTTCTTAGAAGAGAGAGTACATTTTAAAGACACTACACAGAGAGAGCTCCAAGTGTTAAACTCCGCAGCCTGCTATTTGCTTGCCTTATTTTAATTGTAGGTTTCGTATCTAGCTACATAGTCTTGTCTTTTTTTTTTTTTTTTTTTTTCAGACAGAGTCTTGCTCTGTTGCCCAAGCTGGAGTGCAGTGGTGCGATCTCTGCTCACTGCAACCTCTGCCTCCCTGCGTCAAGGAATTCTGCCTCAGCCTCACAGGGATTGCCTCAGCTGGGATTATAGGCATGTGCCACCACGCCCGGCTAATTTTTGTATTTTTAGTAGAGACAGGGTTTCACCCGTGTTGGCCAGGCTGGTCTCGAACTTCGGACCTCAGGCGATCCCTCCGCCTCGGCCTCCCAAAGTGCTACGTAGTCTTTTCAAAAGACGTTTCAGCTATGTTCTCCCGGGGCCCTTGGGCTCTTCAGTAGGAAGCGCCCTGGCTGAAAACCCACACGTTCACCTACAGAAGAAGCACTGTGATGTAGAGGGTGAGCAAGGCAGAGGGCCTCACAGTGGCCCTCACACACACCTGGCTCCAGCTTGGCCAGGCCATTTTGCCCTTGTGGGCCTGTGCCTCACTTCAAAAATGGGGTTTCTTCCCTTATGAAGAAGACCCATGAATTAATAACGGAATTGCCAGGAATGCTAAAAACTGTCTAAATGCCATGTATTGTTTTCAAGCTGTTACTCCTGGAAGGGGCTGGGTTGGCATTGTTTTAGAGGTTAGGAGCCAAACATCAGCTCATCTATTCTCCAGCTGTTGTTTATCCTCCAGCTTCCTGCAATAGTCAGGCACAAGGTCTTAGAAAAATGGGTTTGTGCTACTGTATGTTTTGGTGGGCAATAGGCACACTAATATGTATCACCTTTGTTTACTGAATGGGATGCAGGTGGGGGACCAGAGCACTTCCGCATCCCTCGGAAACAGTGGCATTTAAATGTAGTATGTCCCTTCAGTTCCTCTCTGCCCCACCCACCCCAGCCCATTGATTGAGCCTTTTTTTTTTTTTTTTTTTTTTTTGAGATGGAGTCTGGCTCTGTTGCCCAGACTAAAGTGCAATGGCGCAATCTCAGCTCACTGCAACCTCTGCCTCCTGGGTTCAAGCAATTCTCCTGCCTCAGCCTCCCAAGTAGCTGGGATTACAGTCACCAGCCACCACGCCTGGCTAATTTTTGTATTTTTAGTAGAGATGGGGTTTCGCCATGTTGGCTAGGCTGGTCTCGAAATTCTCGCCTCAAATGATTTGCCTACCTTGGCGTCCCAAAGTGTGGGATTATAGGCGTGAGCCACTGTGCCCAGCCTGATTGAGCCTTTTTACGACATCCCACCAAAAGGATCAGGTTCTGAGCTCCCTCAGCAGTCTGTTCCATTTGTCTCCCTTTTTAAATTCTTTTTATTAGATAGTACACATATAGTATAAAATTCAGAATGTACAAAAGGGCCAGGCACAGCAGCTCGTCTCCACACCCGCCAGTCGTACTTCCTTCCTTGCTCTCAAGTCAGTCCCCTTGTCTTCCTGTCCTTGCCCACCACCCTGGTCTGGGCATTGGTGGCCTCTTTCCCGAGTGGCTTTACTAGCTCCTGTCTTTTGCACGTTCACTCTTTCCTCCCTCCAGTGTTTTCCACCCAGAATGATTTTTTTAAAAAGATATACCTGATTCTGTTACTTCCATACTTGGCACCTTTTGGTGGCTTCCTAGTGCTCTTAGGATAAAGAACAAACTGCTCCTCATGCCCTTCAAGGCCTTGCCTGGTCAGGTGCTTGCAGGCCTCCAGGGCCGTTCTCACTGTCTGCAGTCCAGCCATAGGAACTGAACATGTCCGGCTTTGCCTGCCAGAGTCTTCTCTTGCTGTCCATTGTCTGGAGTGTTGATCTCTTTTCGCTGCCCCATCTAATTGTTGTTAACTCGTCTTTTGGATCTCAGGCTTCACTTCCTCGAGCCTTCACTGTCTCCCCAGACTAACTGACAGCACTGTCACTATAACTTATTAGTGTTATAATTTCGGCTTTCGCCTGTGATCATTGGATTAACATTTCTTTAAATTATTCTTATTGATGTGGGATAGTTTCTGGACATATGAAAGCATTTTATAAACTATAAAGGATCCTAGAATAAAGGTGGTGATTATTTAGCATGCATGTTTATATATGAAGTGAAACTTTTTTTTTTTTTTTGAGACGGAGACTCTTTTGCCCAGGCTGGAGGGCAGTGGCGCTATCTCAGCTCACTGCAAGCTCCGTCTCCCGGGTTCACACCATTCTCCTGCCTCAGCCTCCCGAGTATCTGGGACTACAGGTACCCGCCACCAAGCCCAGCTAATTTTTTTATTTATTTATTTATTTTTTATTTTTAGCAGAAATGGGATTTCAGTTAGCCAGGATGGTCTCAATCTCCTGACCTCGTGATCTGCCCACTTCAGACTCCTAAAGTGCTGGGATTACAGGCATGAGCCACCGTGCCCAGTCTGAAGTGAAACTTTTAAGTGTGACATCCATGCTGATGAGCGATGGGCAGCGGAGGAAAGTCTCCCTTAGGAGCCCCTGATGAACTGAAGTAGGCCATTCTTCAATCCAGTAGAAGCGCATTTTGGATGCCAGCATGTGGGCACAAGGATTTTGCAGAGATTAACAAGATCCAGACAGGCCCTTCCAAGCAGCTCGTGCTACTGTGTTTTAAAAACCAACGATTGCCCAAGATCCGTCTCCTTTGGTTTTTTCACATGGCCCAGAGCATTTTAGAAAAAGCCTTATGCAAATTAGGTGATGGGAGCAACACTTCCTTTTGATCTAGGGAGAGAAATTTTTCCTTGTGCATCCTTCTAATGATTCTTACCACTCCCCTCACCTTCCCCAACTCTTTCTCTTTTTTTAAGGGACAGGGTCTCACTGTGTTGCCCAGGCTGGTCTCAAACTCCTGACCTGCCACAGCCTCCCAAAGTGCTGGTACTACAGACGTGAGTCACCTGGCCCTGCCACCTCTTACCTCTTCTATTAAAAGTTGTCTTTAGAAGTATCCCCCCTGAAAAGGAGAGGCATCCTGAGATAATTCAAGCCAAGTAAAGCTCATTTCATATCCCTTTTGTTGAACAGGAACTTCTGTGGTGTCCACTCACCAGGAGTTGTCTTTGTGTCTGTCCTTTATCCCCAGGAAACCTGTAGGAAGTGTCAGGGACTCTGGAAAGAACATAATGGCCTCACCTGTGAAGAGCTGGCTGAAAAAGATGACATCAAGTACCGTACCTCTATGTGAGTAACAGAATTCAGAGGGGCTATGGGCTGATTCTCAACTTCCCCATTAACCTGCTTTTTGGCAGAGAGGGCACACTATTGTGGGAAGAACACGCTTGAGCCACCCGAGTCTGGAGTGATCTTGGGGAAGTGACCTAACCCCTGAGCCTCTGCTTCCTCATCTCTGCAGCCTCATGGAGTTATTTCAGTAGACAAATTAACATATAAATGCCTGGCACATGTGAGTTCAATAAACGATGGTCCCCCTTTTCCTTATTTTCTAAATAAGCGAGTAGCATGTTTTAATTAGCTTAGACTGCACTGATGTTGCTTATGTCTGTGTTACAGGATACTGTTGGTCTGAGACCTAAGTAGAATTGCCCACCTCCAGAATACAAAATGATACACCTATGCTAATAATAACCATTACTTGTATAGTCCTCTCTACGTGGCTGAGCACGTTACAGATACTCACTTATTAAAATGCAGGCCGGGTGCTGTGGCTCACGCCTGTAATCCCAGCACTTTGGGAGGCCGAGGCTGGTGGATCACAAGGTCAGGAGATCGAGACCATCCTGGCCAACATGGCGAAACCCCATCTCTACTAAAAGTACAAAAATTAGGCCAGGCGCGGTGGCTCAAGCCTGTAATCCCAGCACTTTGGGAGGCCGAGACGGGCGGATCACGAGGTCAGGACTGTCTCTTATACACATCTAGATGTGTATAAGAGACAGGTGAAACCCCGTCTCTACTACAAAAATACAAAAAAACTAGCCGGGCGAGGTGGCGGGCGCCTGTAGTCCCAGCTACTCGGGAGGCTGAGGCAGGAGAATGGCGTGAACCCAGGAGGCGGAGCTTGCAGTGAGCTGAGATCTGCTACTGCACTCCAGCCTGGGTGACAGAGCGAGACTCTGTCTCAAGAGAAAAAAAAAAAAAAAGTACAAAAATTAGCTGAGTGGTGGCACTTGCCTGTAATCCCAGCTACTCGGAAGGCTGAGGCAGGAGAATTACTTGAACCCAGGAGGTGGAGGTTACAGTGAGCCAAGATCGTGCTACTGCACTCCAGCCTGGCAACAGAGTGAGACTCTGTCTCAAAAAAAAAAAAAAAAAAATGCAATGACTAAAGTACTACTGAAATCTCTTTCTCTCTCTCATAACAATCTAGACTTGCCACGCAGCTGAGGGTGCATATCTGTCTCCTGATGTTATTCAGAGATTGTCTCACAGCCAGGCGTGGTAGCTCAGGCCTGTAATCCTGGCATTTTGGGAGGCCAAGCAGGCGGATCGCTTGAGCTCACGAATTTGAGACCAGCCTGGGCAACATGACAAAACCTCATCTCTACAAAAAATAAAAAAGTAAAATTATCCAGAAGTGGTAGGCACGCACTTGTAGTCCCAGCTACTCGGAAGGCTGAGGCAAGAGAATTGCTTGAACCGGGGAGGCAGAGGTTGCAGTGAGCCAAGATCGCACCTCTGCTCTCCAGCCTGGGCGACAGAGGGAAACTCTATCTCAAAAAAGAAAAAAAGAGAGAGATTGTCTAACTGCTTTACCCTTCCCTGAGGGTGGTGTTCTCATCTGCATGATTATAACTAGATTGTGGCCACATTTACACTCAAACCTAAAGAAAGTGGGAAATAGGTAAGTTGCCAAGTAGGCAGCTTTTCTTGATGTTGTGAGTGATACAGTAATTACATACGTATATCTCACTTCGGCTCGTACCACATTGGTCTAGATTATCACATGGGCAAGGCAGGCACCATATATAGCCTGTAGTTGGGTGACTTTATGTCCAGTTTAAATATAATGGATATGGAAGGAGTTTGGTACTCAGAAAATGAAGTGGGCAATGGCAATTTGGGCAGTTTCCCAAGTATGCAGCACAGGTGGATACCATTATCCTTCTCTTACAGATGAGGCAACTGAGCCCATGTGATTTGCCCTTGGTTGTACCGTTAAGGACCTTGAGATGGGGAGGTTACCTGGATTATCCGAGTAGACCCAGTCTAATTACAAATCCTTAAAAGCAGAGAGCCCTTAGTATGGGATGAAGAGTCAGATAAGCGTAAGAAGGACTTGACCGCCCACCGTTACTGGCTTTGAAGATAGATGAAGGTGGCCATGAGCCAAGGATTGAGGCAGCCTATAGAAGTTGGGAACAACCCTCAGCTGACAGCCACCAACCCAGCTCACAGGCGTGAGCCACCAACCCTGTAGGACCCTGGTCCTACCACCTCAACTGAATTCTACAAACGACTGAATTCTGCAAACAACCCAAATGAGCAGCAAAGATACTTTCTCCTCAGGTCTCCAGGAAGGAATGCAGCCCTGTGGTCAGGCATCTGAACTGCTCCAGGACTCAATAGCAGGCTGTGAGATGTTTCTTGGAAGGAGAATCACTTACAACGCACAGCCTTCATTCTAAGTGTCCTGTCCATTCCTGTCACTGGGTCCCACTCAGCATATTGGTCTGCCACACATAGCCCATCACTGGGTCCTATTTAAACCTGGCAGCCTTTTAAATCAGCAGTAAGTGGATAAGAGCAGAACATCCAAATGTGATATATGTTGATTCCAAAAATCACAAACAGCCTCCCAAATGTTGGGCTTCTTCCTTAGTGATAGAGGATGCTTCTATCATGAGTCTAGCTTTGGAAGGGATATCATGATACACATGCCTGACCTCCAGACCACCAGAACTTCATAGGGATTACACATTCCTACATTCAAGGGATATCTCTCTCACCTTCTGGCATTCATGTAGCATATTAATACATCCTACCATACTTGCTACTTCCTGTTCACCAGGTTCTATCTGCATGTGTCGTTCAGGTGTTAGAACAGTGTGTTATCCTATTGGATGATAGATAATCAAGGTCCTCACTGGCTGCTGGTGTTCTCTGATTATTGAACAGACAGGAAAAGCATTTTCCAAATCAGTCACAGCATACCAGTTGCCAGGGCTGTTTGTTTGTTCTGGTGAGAAACAACATCTGGAACAGCAGCCACATCTAGTCAGCATCTTTTGAGGCTTAGAGTACACTGTCCTCCAAGAGCCATTCTTCTGTACAAGCCAAATGAAAAGTAAAAAGAGACATGAGAGAATCATCGCCTCTGCATCTTACAAGTCTTTGATGGTGGTGCTAGTCTTGAAGATGCCCAAAGGAATCTGGTGGTATGTTTTCTTTAGAGAGAGGGTGTTCCAGGGGCTTCAACTTGCCTTATCATTACAGTCCCACTGGGACCAAAGAGCCACAGAGTCCTGCCAAATGTCAGAACTTTTTTTTCCCCTGTTGAGACAGAGTCTTATTCTGTCATTCAGGCTGGAATGCATTGGCACAATCACAGCTCACCTCAGCCTTGACCCCCCAAGCTTGAGTGATCCTCCATCCCTCTCTTTCTTTCTTTTCTTCTTTTTTTTTTAGACAGAGTCTCCCTCTGTCAACTAGGTTGGAGTGCCTTGGCTCACTGTGACCTCCGCCTCCCGGGTCAAGCGATTCTCCTGCCTCAGCCTCCCGAGTAGCTGGGATTACAGGCGCCTGCCACCACGCCCAGCTGATTTTTGAATTTTTAGTAGAGACAGGGTTTTACCTTGTTGGCCATGGTTGGCCAGGCTGGTCTCGATTCCTGACCTCAAGTGATCCCACCGCCTCAGCCTCCCAAAGTGCTGGGATTACAGGTGTGAGCCACCGCGCCTGCCCGGCCGTCCGTTTCTTATTTTTAAACTGCTATAGTACTTTCAAGCAAATCCAAATCCCTGACAGCATGTCATTTCTCCCATAAAAATTTTTCTTCTATAGCGCTTACCTTTATGACCACTAATAATACTAAAATTAAAATTTTAAGTCTTTGATATCTCGTACTAATTTCACAGTTCTGCTAATTATCTCAAATTAGCTTTACATGTGTACTGCAGTTAGTTTGTTCAGGTTAGGATCAAACGAGATTCATTGCATTTGATAATTATTTCTCTTAAGTCTCTTTTAATGAGGATACTCTCTCTTCCTGACACACTGTGTTATGCCATTCACTTACTGAAAAAAGTAAGGATAATTGGCCTGTAGAATGTCTTCTAGAGTTGGCTGGTTTCCCATGGTATTACTTAACTTGTTCTTCTGTCCCCTGCGTTTTCTTTCTTTTTTTTTTTTTTTTTTTTTTTTTAGTGTTTTTCTCTGTTGCCCAGGTTCCTAGTGTATATGAAATGGTATCTCCTTGTCTTTTTGAGATGAAGTCTTGCTCTGTCACCCAGGCTGGAGTGCAGTGGCGCTGTCTCGGCTCACTGCAAGCTCCACCTCCCAGGTTCATGCCTCAGCCTTCCGAGTAGCTGGGACTACAGATATGTGCCATGTGTGCCACCATACCCGACTAATTTTTTGCAGTTTTAGTAGAGATGGGGTTTCACCATGGTAGCCAGGATGGTCTCGATCTTCAGACCTCATGATCTACCCTCCTCTGCCTCCCAAAGTGCTGGGATTACAGACGTGAGCCGCCACGCCTGGCCCCGCTTTTTATTTTTATTTTTATTTTTTTTCTTTTGAGATGGAGTCTCACCCTGTCACCCAGGCTGCAGTGCAGTGGCAGTGATGAGATCTCAGCTCGCTGCAACCTCCGCCTCTGGCCTCAAGCAATTCTCATGCCTCAGCCTCCCGAGTAGCTGGGATTATAAGCATGTACCACCATGCTTGGCTAATTTACAAAAATAACTTTTAAAAGTCACTAAACAATCACAAACCTTACAAAAAGCAACCTGATTTCTAGGCTCTTCTCATAGTATAATATTCAAAATATCCAGTTCTCAACAATAATTTATAAAGCAAACAGGAAAGTATGGCCCATTCACAGGGAAAAAAGTAGTTGATAGAAACCATCTCTGAGGACACATTGGGTGTACTAGACAAATGCTTTGAATCAACTGTCTTAAATATGCTCAGAAAGCCAGGTGAAACCATGAGCAAAGAACTAAAGGAAACCAGGAGCACAGTGTATGAACAAGTAGAGAGTATAGATAGAAATTAAGAAACTGGCCAGGCGCAGTGGCTCACGCCTATAATCCCAGCACTTTGGGAGGCCGAGATGGGCGGATCACTTGAGGTCAGGAGTTCAAGACCAACCTGGCCACCATGGTGAAACCCGTCTCTACTGAAAACACAAAAGTTAGCTGGGTGTGGTGGTGGATGCCTATAGTCCCAGCTACTTGGGAGGCTGAGGCAGAAGAATCGTTTGAACCTGGGAGGTGGAGGTTGCGGTGAGCTGAGATTGCGCCACTGCACACAAGCCTGGCGACAGAGCAAGACTCCATCTCAAAAAAAAGAAAGAAAGAAATTAAGAAACCAACAAATATTGTACCCCAAAATTACAATAGCTGAACTGAATTCCATTAGAGGAATTCAGAAGCAGATTTGAGCAGGCCGAAGAATCAGAGATCTTGAAGATACAGCTGTTGAAATTATACAATTGGAGGAGGAGCAGAAAGAAAAATGAATGAAGAAAAGTGAATAGAGCCTAAGGGACCTATAGAACTTCATCAGATGTACCAATATTCACATTAAGGGGAAGCCCAAAGGAGAACAGAAAGCAAAATGAACAGAAAGAATATTGAAGAAATAATGGCTGAAAACTTCCCAAATCTGATGAAGAACAAGAATCTATACATCCAAGAAGCTGAATGAATTCCAAGTAGGATGAACTCAAAAGAAGTCCACACCACGATACATCAGAGTCAAACTGTTCAAAGCCAAAGACACATAGAAAATCTTGAAAGCAGGCCGGGCGCGGTGGCTCAAGCCTGTAATCCCAGCACTTTGGGAGGCCGAGACGGGCGCATCACGAGGTCGGGAGATCGAGACCATCTTGGCTGACACAGTGAAACCCCGTCTGTACTAAAAAATACAAAAAACTAGCCGGGCGAGGTGGCGGGCGCCTGTAGTCCCAGCTATTCGGGAGGCTGAGGCAGGAGAATGGCGTAAACCCCGGAGGCGGAGCTTGCAGTGAGCTGAGATCCGGCCACTGCACTCCACCCTGGGCGACAGAGCGAGACTCCGTCTCAAAAAAAAAAAAAAAAGAAAAGAAAATCTTGAAAGCAATAAGGGGATGACCCAATCAGAAAATAGGCAAACAGGCCGGGCGCGGTGGCTCATGCCTGTAATCCCAGTACTTTGGGAGGCTGAGGCGGGCAAATCACTTGAGCCCAGGAGTTCCAGACCAGCCTGGCCAACATGGTGAAACCCCGTCTCTACTAAAAATACAAAAATTAGCCAGGCATAGTGGCACACACCTGTAGTTCCAGCTACTCGGGAGGCTGAGGCTGGAGAATCGCTTAAACCTGGGAAATGGAGGTTGCAGTGAGCTGAGATCACGCCACTACACTCTAGCCTGGGCAACAGAGCAAGACTCCGTCTCAAAAAAAAAAAAAAAGAAAAGAAAATAGGCAAACAGCTAGGCACAGTGGCTCACGCATGTAATCCCAACACTTTGAGAAGCCAAGGTCAAGCAGATAGCTTAAACCCAGGAGTTTAAGACCAGCCTAGACAACATGGTGAAACCCAGTCTGTACAAAAAATTTAAAAATAACAGCATGGTGGCGTTAACCTATATTCCCAGCTACTCAGGAGGCTGAGGTGGGAAATCACTGGAGCCCAGGTGGCAGAAGTTGCAGTGAGCTGAGACTATACTACTGAACTCCAGCCTGGATGACAAAGTAAGACTCTGTCTCAAAAAAAACATGGGCAAACAATGTGAATTGGTATTTATCCAAAAAGATGTACGAATGACCAACAAACACATGAAAGCATGCTGAACGTCATTAGTCATTACGAAAATACAAATCGAACTATGGTAAGATAACACTTCACACCTATTAGGATGACTATAATGAAAACAGTGGAAAAAAACAAATGTTGACATGGATATAGAAGAAGTGACACCAGTGTACATTGAGGTGGTAGTAGAAAATAGTACAGCCACCATAGTTAACAGTTGGCTTTCCCCAATAAGTTAAACATAGAATTACCACGTGATCCAGCAGTTCCACTCTCAGGTACTCACCCAACTTGAGTGAAAACAAGTGTCCATACAAAATTTGTGCAAGAATGTTCATTTAACCACAATTCACAATAGCCAAAAAGCAAAAATAATCCATCAACTGATGAATAAACAAATGTGATACATTCATACACGCTAAGTGAAAGAAGACAGGCACAAAAGCATATATATGATTTCCATTCCTATGAAATATCAGAGGTATATGGGCATTCGCCTAGCCTCAGAATGGCAATCTATAGAGCCCAAAAGCAAGTTGTGGGCTGCAGGGCGGGGAGGAATGGGGAATGCCTGCTTAATGGGTACAGGGTTTCCTTTTGGGGTTTTAAAAGTCTCTTGGAACTAGGTGGTGATATTGATTGTATAACATCGTGAATACTCAAAATATCCCTGAATTGCATATGTTAGAATGGTTTAAACAGTCAATTTTATGTGCATTTTACCACAACAAAACAATAAATACACACATGCATCCTCACACTCACAAAGGGGATGGGCTAAGATCTGAAGGGCACGGCTCCCAGAGAGGAGTTACCCACACGCTGGCTGCTGGTGAGCGCAGATAACTACAGGAGTGCAGGCTGTCGCTGACTGCGTAGAGGCCCTGAGCCTTCCTGTGTGAGCGCAAGGTCAGCAACCACAGTCACAGCCCCGGCTTCTCTTCCTGTCCTGCCCCAGGAGCACATCCTGCGAGGCTGTTTCCTGCCTGATTGAGAATCTAGTTGCCAAACCACCTTTTCTCTGAAGGAATCAACCATGATTTTTCCCCCGTTTCACTGTTCACTTTTATATTACTGGCTAGGTAGTCACCACATCCCATAACAACACTCCATTCTGGCCCTATCCAGTAGTACACTTACAAATGCAGAAGCAAAGGACTTGAGTAGATGTGCAGTGTTGAATAGCTGTTTGAACATTTCAGCAATGTTGAGTTGCAGGCATGCTTTATGTATTCGTCTGTCCATTTTAGGGGAGCCTTTTCTTCTCCCTCCATACTCATTACATGTCAGTGCCAGGATGAGCAAGCAAGTAGACCGTCTTTCCAAGCCTTCGTGAAAAGACTGTAACCTTAATTTTTTACAGCCTCTTCTCTCCCTGAGCAGCTTCCCAGGGAAAGTCAGCCAGCCCCAGACAGCTGGAGTGCCACAACTTAAAGCCACACCTCAGTCTCAGGGTGCTCTTACAAAGGAGGTTTGTGCTGTAGAAAATTGCAGTTGTGTTTGGGCACATAGCTTTTCAAATTGAAAAGTTTTTCATTAGAACTTTGAGTCTAGCCGGGCGCAGTGGCTCACACTTATAATCTCAGCACTTTGGGAGGCCGAAGCAGGCAGATCACTTGAGGTCAGGAGTTTGAGACCAGCGTGGCCAACATGGTGAAACCTCATCTCTACTAAAAATACAAAAATTAGCCGGGCATTAAATTAGCCAGGTGTGGTGGTGTGGTGGCACACACCTGTGATCCCAGCTACTTGGGAAGCTGAGGCATGAGAATTGCTTGAACCCAGGAGATGGAGGTTGCAGTGAGTCTCAAAAAAAAATTTTTTAAATCGACCAGACACAGTGGCTCACGCCTGTAATCCCAGCACTTTGGGAGGCCAAGGCAGGTGGATCACCTGAGGTCGAGAGTTCCAGACCAGCCTGGCCAACATGGTGAAACCCCATTTCTACTAAAAATAAAAAAAAATTAGCCGGGCATGGTGGTGGGTGCCTGTAATCCCAGCTACTCGGGACACCGAGGTGGGAGAATCTCTTGAACCCGGGGAGGCAGAGGTTGCAGTGAGCTGAGATGGAGCCACTGCACCCCAGGCTAGGCAACAGAGCAAGACTCCATCCCAAAAAAAAAAAAAAAGGTAGAACCTTGAGTCATAGAACATTGAGTAGTGTCTTCACAGTTGCTGAGTAACTAAAATCATAAACAGATGTACTACTAAGGTGACTCATTAAGGTAATAGTACTAAATGCACTTTATCTAAATTTTGTCTCCTTGACTGTGTGTGTGTGTGTGTGTGTGTGTGTGTGTGTGTGTGTGGTTTTTTTGTGTGTTTTTTTGGTTTTTTTTTGAGATGGAGTCTCGCTCTGTTACACAAGCTGGGATGCAGTGGTGACGCGGTCTCACTTCACTGCGGCCTTCACCTCCCAGGTTTAAGCAATTCTCCTGCCTCAACCTCTCAAGTAGCTGGGATTACAGGTGTGCACCACCACACCTGGCTAATTTTTGTATTTTTAGTAGAGACAGGGTTTCACCATGTTGGTCAGGCTGGTGTCAAACTCGTGAGCTCAAACGATCTTCCTGCTTTGGCCTCTCAAAGTTCTGGGATTACACCGGAATGGAGCGTGCACCACCATGCTCAGCCTTTTCTCTCCATTTTAAGCCTACAGGGATTCCTATAACAAATAGGGCAGTCCTTTTCTAAATGCCAATTACTAGGCACTGTGCCAGGGTGCTTTATATTTCGTCTGTAATCCTCAAAACACCATGAGAAAGTTGTGTTTTCACAGTTTAAAAATGAGGAAACTGAGTCTCCATGCAGGTGAATAATTTACCAAAGATCATAGAATTAAAACTTTGAAGCAGTTCTGAGACTCCAAAACCTAGGCTCTTTTCACTGCTTAATGTCACAAAAAACCGTAAGTGATCATTTTATGTGGAAATAAATAAATGTTTAATGGCCATATTTTTTTCCTCCTCGTTGTCCCTCCCAGCTCCAAATTATATTTTCTTATTTCAGTGAAGAAAAAATGACTGCTGCCCGCATTAGAAAATGCCACAAGTGTGGGACTGGCCTCATCAAATCTGAAGGCTGCAACCGCATGTCTTGCCGCTGTGGTGCCCAGATGTGCTACCTCTGTCGAGTTTCTATCAATGGATATGACCATTTCTGCCAACATCCCCGCTCCCCAGGAGCCCCTTGCCAAGAGTGTTCAAGGTGCTCTCTCTGGACCGATCCCACTGTAAGTAGACACATGGCTGGCTATTGCTTTATAGGGAGAAAATAGAAATATATTTTTATGACAAGTATTTTGAATATACGTAACAAAATTTGACTTAGGAAAAGAATATAGGAAATTACATAGACTGATAACCAAAGAAAAAATTTGAGAAAGTATCAGCTGCTACTCATGCTGCTCAAAGTAGCAGGCCCTAACAGTTTTGTAGGCAAATTCTTTTAATTCTTCAGGAAATAAAATTATTCTATGCCCTCTGAAATATTCCAGAGCAAAGTAAGGAAACTTATACATGTATCTGTTCAAAGCCAGCATAACACTGATTCCAAAGCCTGATGGAGATAGCCCTAACAAATAAAACTATAGATGTTCTTATGAGATTTACATATAATCTAGAGTTTAAATTATCTAAATAAAATATTAGCAAATAGAAAGCATGACCAAGTGAGTTTGTTCCAGAAATGCAATGATGGTTTAATATTAACAACCTCTATTAACGTAAATCATTATATGGTATCTGTAGATGGTGAAAAGACATTTAAGAAATCAAATATTTCTTCTTGATTTAAGCTTTAAAAATACAGTATTACAAAGATGATTCCTTAATAATATTTTTAGACTCCAAATTTCAATACAGATGTTAGCATACATTTAGTAGTAAAATAAAGTCAAGTATAACATTATCAATCAGCAATCCTATGTTCTGAAACTGCTTGTCAGTGCACTTAGCTAAGAGAGTAAAAGGTATAGTAGATACTGGAGACAGTCATAGCTAATGTTTATTGGGCACCTACCATGTGTCAGACACTGTTCTAAGTACTTTATTTATAAGTGTTTTATATGTAAAGAAAGGAAAACTTGGCTGGGCGCAGTAACTCGCGTCTGTAATCTCAGCACTTTAGGGAGGCCGAGGTGGGTGGATCACCTAATGTCGGAGTTCGAGACCAGCCTGACCAACATGGCAAAGCCCTGTCTCTACTAAAAATACAAAAATTAGCCAAGCATGGTGGCACGCCCCTGTAATCTCAGCTACTCACAAGACTGAGGCACGAGAATCACTTTAACTGGGGAGGTAGAGCTCGCAGTGAGCCAAGATCATGCCACTGCGCTGCAGCCTGGGCAACAGCAAGAGTCTGTCTCAAAAAAAAATATATCAATTCTTAAAATTATTTTAAACTAAAAACAAGCACAAGCACTGTTCAAAGCTGATCTATAAGAATAACGATTTTTGTTGTTGTTGTTGTTGAGACAGAGTCTTGCTCTGTCACCTAGGCTGGAGTGCAATGGTGTGATCTCAGCTCACTGCAGCCTCCACCTCCCGGGTTCAAATGCTTCCTGATTCTCTTGCCTCAACCTCCCAAGTAGCTGGGACTACAGGCACATGCCACGACACCTGGCTAATTTTTGTATTTTCAGTAGAGATGGGGTTTCACCGTGTTGGCCAGACTGGTCTCGAACTCCAGAACTCAGATGATCTACCTGCCTCGGCCTCCCAAAGTGCTGGGATTACAGGCATGAGCCACCACACCTGGTCAGAATAATGTCATAATGCAAGAAGACATCTTTACCAAAAGGCGATTGCATGTGACAGTGAGCTCCCTGCTGACCTGGAGCGAGTGGACCAAGGCCACTAGGAGGCAGGCCTGGTGACACATGGCACTTCTCAGCTTTCACTGGGAAGAGTGAAGGGAGCCTCGGTAGTGTTTAGTGGAGAAACATTCCTGTCCTCTAAGAAAACATTCAGTATTACAGAGAGATCACCTCTATCCAAAGTTACCTAGAAATTTAATGCAATTCACATCTAAATTCAGTAGGATTTTTAAAAACTGACTTATTTTGAAAATGAAACTACTTTTTACTGTAAAGCTATTAATACACATAGGTGAACATAATAATAGGCAAATAGATCAAAGGGACAAGATAGAGACCAGAAACAGAAATTAATGTGTGATTTTTTTAAATGCCATTCAAAATCATTGGAGAAATTATATAGGTGTATTTATCTGTTAATTCCTTTTTTTTTTTGAGACCATGTCTTGCTCTGTCACCCAGGCTGTAGTGCAGTGGCACGATCTTGGCTCACTGCAGCCTCCACCTCCTGGGTTCAAGTGATTCTCCTGCCTCAGCCTCCTGAGTAGCTGGGATTGCAGGCACACACCACCACGCCCAGATAATTTTTGTATTTTTAGTAATGACAGGGTTTCACCATGTTGGCCAGGCTGGTCTTAAACTCCTGACCTCGTGACCCACCTGCCTCGGCCTCCCAAAGTGCTGGGATTACTGTGCCTAGCCTTTATCTGTTAATTCTTAATTGTGCAGTGTTGCCAGAATTAGTCTGAACAGAAAGCCCCTGTCCTCATTGGGTTTAAGGTCTAATACAATCTACAAGAATCTGTGGAGTATTTAATGCCATGTCAGAAGAACAGGTGATGCAGTAGAGAATGGTCGGGTGGGAGGAGGGAGGCCAGCTTTTAAATAGATGGAGGCCAGAGTAATTTGCAGTGCAACCTAGAGGAGGAGCAAGGCTGGCAAGGAAATCAAACACATAGGGCCTTTTTGGGGATCAGAAAGAAAGCAGGTGAGGTTTGTAGGTGGAGAGCCACAGGGACGTGACAGCCGTTGGCCCAGAGGCGGGCCTCAGGTCTGGAGTGTGATTAGAGCCATTTCAGGGCATTGTAGGGGGCTATGTTTCCAAGGTCACTCTAGCTGCTACATGGAGAGAGAGAGGGCAGCATGAAGGGAATGGCTTCTGTAATCTTGGAGAAGAGAAGGTTTCTTGCATTACATCAAGAGAAGCATTACATCAAGGCCAGACTAAAAAACCATAAATTCTCACTGGCAAATGACATCATAAACAAAGATTAGGGATACATGAAAAACTGGGGGAAAGGGTCAGGCACAGTGGCTCATGCCTATGATGCCAACACTTTTGGAGGCCAAGGTGGGCAGATCGCGGGAGCCCAGGAATTCAAGACAAGCCTGGTTAACATAGCGAGACCCCATTTCATTTAAAACAAAAAAATTAAAGCTAGGCACAGTGTCTCATGCCTGTAATCCCAGCACTTTGGGAAGCCGAGGCGGGTGGATCACCTGAGGTTAGGAGTTCGAGATCAGCCTGACCAATATGGTGAAACCTGTCTCTACTAAAAATGTAAAAATTAGCCGGGCATGGTGCTGCACACCTGTAATACCAGCTACTCAGGAGGCTGAGACAGAATTGCTTGAACCCAGGAGGCACAGATTGCAATGAGCTGAGATTGCGCCACTATACTCCAGCCTGGGTGACAGTGTGAGACTCTCTGTCAAAAAAAAAAAAAGTGGGGCCGCGTGTAGTGGCTCATGCCTGTAATCCCAGCACTTTGGGATCTCAAAAAAAAAGAAAAACAGAAGTGTCTTTTTCCTCTGTGTGTAAGTACAGAGGTGAACAGCTCAGGGACGGTCTAGCACCTCTTACCTAGGATCCAGTTGCTTCCAGCATTCTATTCTGCCACCCCTAGATCACATGTGGTCATTGTCTAAAAAGGAGCTCTGGCTGATAAATCCACATTGCAAGCAGCAAAGGGGTGGAGTAAGGCTAAAGAGACTACTTACCTATCTCTTAAGTAATGTTAGGCTTCCAGAAGCTGCAACAGGTCACTACTTCTTCAGTCCTATCAGCCAGAACTTAATGACATGCTTCCCCAACTGCAAGCAAGATGGGAAGTAGTAGCCATTACAGACCCAGCCAGAATGTCTGTGGAGGAAGATGTTATACTGAGGAGTCTCCCTATGGTCTATTCACCTCAACTCAAAAATGGACAGAGGAAGTTTAAAAAAAGAATTATAAGTAGGGAAAAAAGCTGCTTGCTGGCCAGGTGCAGTGGCTCATGTCTGTAATCCCAGTGCTTTGGGAGGCCGAGGCAAGAGTATCACTTGCATCCTGGAGTTTAAGAATAGCCGGGGCAACATAGTGAGACCCCTGTCTTTACAAAATATCAAAAATTAGCCAGATTTGGTGGTGCTCGCCTGTTGTCATAGCTACTTGGGAGGCCGAGGCAGGAGGATCATTTGAGCCTGGGAGGTCAAGGCTGCAGTGAGCCATGTTCGTGCCACTGCACTGCAGCCTGGGTGACAGAGCAAGACCCTGTCTCCAAAAAAAAAAAAAAAA